GACCACTGCGCTGCAGTTAAAATGAGGTTGTTCTGTCTCAAAAAAAAAAAAAAAAAAAAAAAAGTGGGTAATGGACTAGTGCTGTCTGATTTCTTGTGATGCAGGAAGCAGAGGTCCAGAGAGGGAAAGCATTGACTTGAGAGGACATCCTGACTCCCAGTCTGAGGTTGTTTCCCACAATGGGATGGTTGACATGGCAGGTCCAGGGACACCTGCTTATTCATTTCAGAGTTAGTGATGTTGTGGCCCTAGCCTTACAATTCATAAGCAGACCTAAGCCACACTGGCTGAGTTTAGTCCTTGAAAGAGTTCCTTTTTCCCCAGCCACTCGACAGCATTTGGCTGTCCTGCAATCCTGTGACAGTTTCCAGGCCTTCCAGGTGCTTGAACTGACTAAACATTCTTAATTCTGAGCTCAGTTCTGGTGCCCAGTGGAAGTCTTTTTCTTCTAGATTTGTTCCTCTAGGCTGTCATGAGACTGCCCTAAGGCCTAAAATTTATTTTCCTATAAACTCAGGGCAGGGCACCCAGTCACCAGACTCCCTGTCACTAACGACCAGATCACTCCTTTCCTCAGCAGAACTGCTCTCAGAACAGACTGTACAACAGGAAACCGCATGTGGGCTAAAAACAAGCTTGCAGCCTCCATTTCTTCCTAAAGTCAGAGAGCAGAGTGTCCTGAAAAGAGCTGTAGCGTTCAGGTGTCCTCTGAGCCTTGATATCTTGTCTGTTAAATGGGGATACATCCCCCCTTCACACCCACCCATCTAAGATTATTATAAGTATTAAATGTAAACAGAAACAATAGCACACCAATCAGGTAATAATCACAATAGCAGCCAACATTTATTTCATGCTTTCTTAATAAGTAAGGCCCTACTGTATTATCTTTTTTTCTTCCCTGATTATCTTTTTTTCTTTTTTTTTTTTTTTTTTTTTTTGAGACAGAGTCTCGCTCTGTCGGCTCACTGCAACCTCCGCCTCCTGGGTTCAAATGATTTTCCTGGCTCAGCCTACCAACTAGCTGGGATTAGAGGCACCCGCCACCATGCCCTGCTAATTTTTGTATTTGTAGTGGAGATGGGTTTCACCATGTTGGCCAGGCTGGTCTCGAACTTGTAACCTCAGGCAATCCACTCGCCTCGGCCTCCCAAAGTGCTGGGATTATAGGCATGAGCCACTGCAGCCAGCCTCCTGATTATCTTGACTAAGCCTCACGACCACACTAGGAGCACTGTTATATCATTTTACAGTGAGGAGCTGAGACCTAACAGAGTTAAGTACAATGGCCAGGCTACGCAGCTAGTAACGTATGTCTGAGGATTATCAGTATCTCCAACAAGTCCAGCAAGGCCCAGTAGCCTCATGTAAATTTGCTTTGAATCACAAAGGACAGTAGGAAAAATAGAAACTTAAAAAATAAGGCTGGGTTTAAAGTCAGAAGAAACAAGATCTAGTTCTGGAACTTTCACGTATTCTGGATGTTACACTGGACAAGTTATTTACCTTCTCTGGACTTCAGTTTCTTCATCTGTACTGTAAGGGGGTTAGATATGATGATCCTCCCAACTCTATTTCCTAAAAAGACAGTATTGCTGGTGGTAAGACTGGGTTCAAATTCCAGCTCTGCCATTTGCTTAAAGAGTGTAACTTCTCTGCATCTGCCTTCCTATCTATGAAACAGGTCAAAATAGATACCACATAGGTTGTGAGGATGAAATTGGACAGTATAGTTTAGGCATACAATTGGTGTTCCATAACCTGGGAGAGGAAGTTCGAGGCAGCATACAGTAGGGCCTTACTTATTAAAGCAGGAAATAAATGTTGGCTGCTCTTATGATTATTACCTGTAGCTGCCTTGGGAGCTTTTCCTGAGCAGCAGTGTGGCACAGCACTGCTTCTGACAGGGAAAACAGCAGCTCAGAGTAATAATTGAAGAAGACCCATGTAGTCTGAATGAGGTCTGCGGTGCTTCCATACTCTGGGAGAGGAAGTTGGAGGCAGGCAGCAGCTTCATCTACACCTGCTATCTCTGGCCAGCTGAGCTCCCAGTCCCACCCTGGCCTTGGAGCAAGCAGTCAGGGTAGGTACTGTTAAGCTTTGAGCTCTGCCAAAGGCCATGAGGCTTGCCTAATGGGACGGAGCTTTTCCCTGGCTGGGAAGGGTGGGCAGGCACCAGGCTTCCTTTTAGGGGAGGAAGGGCTGTAAATGGGGGTGGGTGGGAGCTCAGCCTGGCTAGTTCTTTGTCCTGGTAGTCTAGGCCACGAGGTTCAAACAGCCAGTCTGTGACTGAGGAGCTAAGTGTAGTGTCTGCACTAGCTTCAGGGGGAGGTCTTATTTAAAAAGGGGAGGGAAAAACTGTAGGTCAACACCACTCCACCCTCTTAGGAGAGGAGCTAAGTCAGTGAATAAGCCTTTTGTTCTTTCTTGGCTGCCACACAACACCCCGGCTAACCAGCCCCTACCCCAAGCAGTGAGAAGAGGCTAGGCTGCCTGATGGTCAGTGTAGCGGGCCTAGTGGCCTCTCAAAGGTCTCCCGAGGGAGCTGGGAGCAGTCACTGCACCTCCAGGACTCACAGGTACCATTAACAGCAGGCACATAGGATTGAGTGTGCTTCCGGGCTTGTAAATGGTAAGACTAATCCAGACTAGTCCCAGCATCTGCTTCCTTTACCCTTGACTGCTCTTCCAGCCCTGCTCTGCCCCATTAATACAAATTGATTTTTTTTTCCCTGAAGACTTGTATATGATGCAGCCTGGCCATTATCAGCAGCTCAGCTGGCCACAGGTAAAGGAGGTTGCTGAGGAAAGCAGGGTGCCAAAGTTAAACTCAAAAGCCTCAGTTTCTTCATCTATAAAAGGGGGATTAGGCTGGGTGCGGTGGCTCACGCCTATAATCCCAGCACTTTGGGAGGCGGAGGCGGGTGAATCACCTGAGATCAGGAGTTGGAGATCAGTCTGACCAACATGGAGAAGCCCCATCTCTACTAAAAATACAAAATAAGCTGGGCGTGGTGGTGCATGCCTGTATTCCCAGCTACTCGGGAGGCTGAGGCAGGAGAATCGCTTGAACCCGGGAGGCGGAGGTTGCAGTGAGCCGAGATCACACCATTGCACTCCAGCCTGGGCAACAAGAGGGAAACTGTACCTCAAAAAGAAAAAAAAGGGGGATTATAGCTGGGCATGGTGGTTCATGCCTCAAGAGGCGGGAGGATCCCTTAAGGCCAGGAGTTTGAGATCAGTCCTGGCAACATGGCAGGACTGATCTACAAAAAAAAAAAAAAAAAAAAAAAAGACATCCAGCATGTGCATAGGTAGCTCTTTTCATCCTGGATGATGGGAAGGCCATTAGGCCATTTCCTGGCACCTTAGTACATACTTAGGAAATGTGAATTCCTGGCTTTCCCTCTTACTCCAGCCCCTTAGATTTTGAAATTCAAACCTCGGCAAAAGATACTTGTATATTCCAATTTTTGTAAATTGCCTTTTGGTCTTCCACAGGCTTAGGGACTCCCTTAATAAAATTAAACCCAGACCTTCCAGATTTCTCCCTCCATGAGCAGCCTTGAAGAAACTGGCTTTTATTATGGAGGTGTTTCCTTCTACGTGGTAGCAGCTGTGCTGATGAACAGTGCTCAAGGCTAGTGAATCTCAGGATGTGAGTCAGGGAGGCTTTGATACAGACCACCCACCCACGAACACTGTCCCTTCATTTTCCCTCTGGGTGCTCTGGGAGTTTTTCTGCTGTAGCAATTGATGGTGTCCAGTACAGAAGCTAATGAGAAGGATAGGGCAGGAGCCTCAGGTTTGCATGTTCAGAAACCATCACCCAGGGTGATTCAGGAGGATGAGCTCACAGATTTGCCTCCTCTGACCTTACAGGGAGAAATAGGGAATCAGCATATGTCGTGAAGAATTTTACAGAGTGTCAGGGGCCCTGGAGATTATCAAGTCCAACTCCTTTTTTCACAGATGATGAAATTAAGGCCCAGGGAAGAAGGGATTACTGGTGTCACATAAACAATACTTGATTTGGCTGGTCAGTAAGAGAATTTCCTCGGAAAATCAAATTAAGATAATGTTGCTTGATGGGTCACGTCATAATTCAGGGCAAATCATAATAACCTCTTAGGATTTTTTCTTTTTTTTTCTTTTTGAGACAGGGTCTCACTCTTGATGCTCAGGCTGGAGTGCAGTGGCGCCGTCACAGCTCACTGTGTCCTCGATTTCCCAGGCTCAGGTGATTCTCCTACCTCAGCCTCCCGACTAGCTGGGACTACAGGTGTGCGCCACCACAACTGGTTAATTTTTTATTTTTTGTAGAGCTGGAGTTTTGCCATTTTGCTCAGGTTGGTCTAGAACTCCTGGGCTCAAGCAATCCTCCCTCCTCAGCCTCCCAAAGTGTTGGGATTGCAGGTGTGAGCCACCATGCCTAGTCCCTTTATGAATTTTTATAGCAGTTTCACTATTTTCAAAGTGCTTTCACCTTCATTATCATATTTTGAGGCATATATTGTCTCCATTTCACACATGAAGAAACCAGAGAGGTTGTTTTGCCAAGTATCACACAGCTAAGGCTGAGCTGGTACTAGCATACAAGTAAGGAGAACTGGACGGTTTAAAAACAGGTCTGAGGCCGGGCGCGGTGGCTCACGCCTGTAATCCCAGCACTTTGGGAGGCCGAGACGGGCGGATCACAAGGTCAGGAGATCGAGACCATCCTGGCTAAC